CCTCCACGTGGTCGCTCATCATCTTCACCACCTTCTCCTTCGTCGTGAGGATACCGTCAATCGTACGCCGGAGATTCATCTCGACGGGCTCATCGCTAGGTTCCTTCCTACACGACACTACTCCAATCGACACTTCGTCCATGGAGAAGATATGATATTGCTGAATGCCTTCTAGGCGTTTGTACAGCTCAGTCAGCACGCCCTAGTACGTCTTAAACTGCGAGCTACCACGTGGAATGTGAACCGTCACAGAGTTCGCCGCGGCTTCCTTAACAGCGTCCACTACGTGAGCCACAGTATAGCAATCTTCTTTCGCAACGTGCTTGCGAATATGACCGAAACCTCGATCGCACGAGTTCTTCGTGTGGCCCTTTACAAAGAACTTGTAGTCTACGTGCTTCAGCAGCCCCATGTTTACTTGCGCCAACAAGAACTTGATGACGTAGTTGTTCTTGTTCTGACCCGAGCAATTTTCAGCGTAAACAGTCAATCTATTCTTGCCTTCAGACAGAACCTTGGTCCGGAGAAAATGTTCTAGCATAAGGTTGATCTGGTCGCTGCCTTTTCCACTCGCTGTTTCATCGTAGAGGTAGTTGGTTTGAATACCGTCGTTGTCGCAGAAAATGCCGAAGCAACTGACGGACAACAGTGAGCAAAAATACCACTGCGACGGCGTACTGGCAATGCTAGGAACAGTAAGGTTCTGCGAGAAGTCCATGGCGATAACGGCGTGGTCGTCGCTCACTGAAGTCTTGTCCTTCTTGTATGTACGGCTGCAACCAAAACAAAAAGATATTAACATCCCCTGTTAAAAGTTACCAGTAGATTAAATTGATACCAATCTCCCTTTCCGCATTTTGCGAGCGGACTCCGTGTGTCTGCCAAGCGCCTCGGTTTTTTCTGCACTGACGTCGTTGCGCATGCTTGTATGGTAGATGGAACAAATATCACACACGTTGCTCCTTGGCGACCGAATGCGAATGGTCGGACAATGGAGCGTCAGTAGCTTCCTCATCGTCGAGGGTGCAGGCTCTCGGACGCGCAGGCGAATCTGCTCCACGAAGCTGTGCATCTCCTCGTACAAAACATTCCATGTGAAGTGCGCGGGCACGATCGACAGGCACCTGCATCAGTGCCCCCAACAGCGTGTAGAGGCTGATGGACTTCTCCGTTTTCGTCATTGTGGACAGCGAGCAGAGCAGCAACTCCAGCTGCTTAGTCTTGCTCTCCACGCAGCGATTCCCACACGCATCAGCTTGGAGAATGGAGGTACTTGGCCACGAAGATCCTGGTCCATCAGATAGATACCAATGTCCTCGTCACCCTCAGCAGCAGTGTCCTCCTCTCCACTATCTGCGCTCTCAGCTGTAAGGGGCTCTTCGTCGTCACTAGATGCCTGTGAGTCGGGGGTGAAGTCCTCGTCCTCGCTGTCGTCAAGCTTCTCGCTGTCACTCGCGGCGCTTTGGCTGCTACAGCCTACTTCTTCTTCCGGTTCCCTGGGGGCGACCGGGGCAGCAACAGGAGCGTCACTGTCGGCACGGTGGGGAGCAGCTTCATCGCCGCCAGCAGCAGCTCCCGACGCGTACGCTGTTAGATCCTCCATGGTCGTCTGCTTTGTAGATGATACACCTCGATCCAAATTTTTGAAAAGTAAAAAAGGCTCTAACTCAGCAATTCGTTTATGTACGAGAAACCGTTGGTCAATTTCAGAGCCGTTTATCTCGAAAACGCTAAAATGTTGATTAGTAACACTTTGTTTGCCGCAGTCTCATTTGCACGCAAAGTCTCCTTTTCGGCAGGGTGGACCATTTCAAAAGGGTGCATTTAGTGCATCTATGGAAGTGGGTGACCTGTGGTATGCAGGGATTGATGTGCTGGATGGCCGGTCGACATTTTCCAATATTTACTACTTAAGTAGTCGATTTCTGAGCCAGAGTACTTTACTGGGTGAGTTAAATCCGAAAAGTTGAGCAGAACTAGTTTTATTTTATCTATACTGATCAAGTGTAATTCAGCTTTTTGAAATCCTACCCACGGCCGCTTATTGCTGTGAACAACAAAAATAAGAGCGTAGCTTACATATACTGCGTATTCGATTTCCTGTCGTACTGGGTGCTCTTCGAGCCCCTCTTCTTACTAGCTTTTAACCTTACTGTAATGCTCACTTCACAATCTTCCTACAAGTGTTCAAGTCGATTAGGGAACAAAGAATTCTTTAGCTCCTAAGAGCTATGGACTACGATCCGGGCAACGGTGATGTTGTACCACGGCCTGACTACGAGGACATGTCGCTCCAAGACGGTGAAGACGTGCTGGTAACGCAAGAGACAACTAGGACGATGTCTGTCCAGAGAAGCGTCGGCGACATCGATGCCAGACGCCAGATTGATCAACTGGCGCAAACCTCAGCCGCAGCCCACCACTCCACTGTGGAGAGGATTAGCCACGTCCAGAAGCAGCAGAACGAGATCGCTTCCAAGACCTCTGAGTAACTGCAGCTCCAGTACGACAAGCAGCTCGACCTGCAGGAGCAGCAAGAGCAGATCCGACGTCAGATGACTGAGCAGAGATTGCAAATCGAGGAACATGTGCG